AAAATCGCAAACTAAAATCAAAATTATGTTCTTGGGGTTTTGTTTGGTTTTAAATCGCGATTTTCTTAAATATTTTGTTTTTCAATTTGCTCTGAAATTCCCAGCTAAAATTTTTAGGTATTCATAATATCGTACAAGCACATATAATTCATTAGTCGTAAAGAAAACAACAGAATAATTTCAACAAACCGTCATAGTAATGGAACATGACAAACCATTCACCTTTTTTTTTCTGCTCATTTAAACCATCCACTATTCAGCAGATCCATAATTATTTTTGTAAATTAATTAAGAGAATCCAAATAAAAAATTGATCTTACTTATTAAAAAAACAAATTATTCACGGATCAACATGGCATCAAACCAACAAATTTGAAGAGGAGATTTTTGAGTTTGGTTCAACAGTTTTTGCTTATACCCTAACTTGAACATTCGGGGGAAAAAAAAAAACTATTAAAGAACAAGGGGATATATTAATCGATAGCAATACCGTCTCCTCCCTGTTGAGAAACAAATTATTAAGAAATAGCATTGAAAAATATATTATTTCTCCGAGTAACAATATTTAGCACCACTTATGTTTAACACCAGTCTATATAACAGCAGTATTAAATTACACGTTCAACTAAATACAATGATTTATGACTCATTTAATGGAACCTATGATATACCAACACCTAGACTAGTGTTCAACACTACTGGTACTAGATAGAATTATTCATTTCAAAACTAGTTTTAGATGGTAGAATACATAAATGGCGATAAGGGAACTGATAGGGGTCGCAACTCGCACACTGATTTATTATAAACTATGGTGCCCCCAGGGGGAAGGTGGAAAAACTACAGCTTTGCTCGAAACTGTCGCGTCAAAGGTTCGAATCCTGAAATATGGATTTGGCCATTGGATAAGTGCAAATATACAAGCAGCCTTCCACCCTATACTCTTGGAGGCATAATCTGCGATTTACCTCTTTCACCAAGGCTCAGGGCAGGGCAGGTGGGGGCTGCCAAAGATGCTGCTCGTCTTTTTTTATTATGGACTATGGCACATAGTGTCAAACAAGATTAAACAGTTTATAGATAAGATTGTAGGCTTCTTTTTTTTTTACTTTCATAATACTATCAAATATACTGTACAATACACCTTAACGAACAAACCATGAACTCAATGATCAAAGATTAATGAATAAACGAATAGATGTGCATGGTATTACAAACAATGTGGTAACTAATAGGTGAAGCTATTAGATTCAACAACATATTAAGTGCATGACCACATATTCACCAAAAAGTAGAATTGTTTCTGAGATGTACAATGCGCCCATTGTTATACAAAGATCGAACACAAAGTTACATATCGAAGAATCTCAAACCCTATTGCAATCGACACAACCCTAATACATCAAACTATACACAATAACCACTGAACATCAAAGGTATCAATGATGCTCAGAACACTATCACCGAAGGAATCAACACAAACAAGCCTAGATCTCCTCAACCCTCACGATTCACAGACCAAATCGTGTAGCTTCTTCTATGGACCAGAAGAGCTCAACGATACCAACCATTATCACACTATTCTTTCACCAGATTCATAAAGAAACACAACTTTAGAAACTAATTCGTGGATTATTTTCGTAAATTAATTAAGAGAATCCAAATAAAAAATTGATCTTACCTTATTAGAAAACTCACGGTTCAAAAGACCAAATTATTGACAGATCAATATGACATCAAACCAAGGGGATATATTAATCAATAGCTATTAAAATTTCTTTCTGAGAAACAAATTATTAAGAAATAGTCTTGAAAAATATTTTATTTCTTCGAGTAAACCTTTTTAACACCACTTATGTTTAACATCAGTCTATATGACAACGGTATTAAATTAGAGGTTCAACTAAATATAATGATTTATGGCTCATTTAATGGAACATATGATATACCAACATCGGTCTATATGACTGGTGTTCAACACTACTGATACTAGATATAATTATTCATTTAAAAACTAGTTTTAAGTGCAAGACCACATATCCTACACTCTAAAAAGAGTTGGTTTTACATGCACTATTCATAAGCCAAATGGCCATCTAAGCTTAGCCCAGTTGGGTTCGCCGCTGTAGCTGAGCCGTTTTCACGATTTTTTTATTAGTTTCTCCATATTTACACGCAAACGGCCATACTCTTCAGTCTTCACGCATATCCTTTCTTCTCTCGCCATTTCTCTGACTCTCCCATTTCATTCTCTCTTATCCTCTCCAGTCTTCACGCAAGCTATCATTCATAACATAATTCTCTCTCCAGAAGAAAACCCTCGACTAGCCCTAATGTCTCTTCTTCTCTCTCGATTTATCTGCAGCAAATGAGCACGGAGGCCCGGATCCGTGCATCATCTCTACGGTTCTTCCGAATGAAAAATCCTGTGAAAAATGTGTAGAGATTTCGAAATTTCAGCAGATGCAAGGAAACCTCCATAAATCTTCATCTGAGGTAACTTCGAAGTAGCAATTTGGGTTTTATTTAGATTTAGGCGGTCCGAACTGTGATGAATTTTTGGAATTTTATTTACGAATCGAGGCTAGAATCTTCATTTGGATCTCGAAACTGAAGCTCGTTCATCCTTTTCGCTATTTCTTGTTGCCATGTACTACCTTTTTGAGCGATTTCTTTTGATATTTTGTTTTTTTTTTTTCCAATTAGGGTTCTCACAAGGAAAAAGGCGTTCTTGGCATTCATCATCACCGGCGATCACCTCGTTTCCAAGTGTCCGAACTGGTCCTGGTAAATTTCAATCTGAATTTACGTCTCTTGCCATTCCACTATTTTGGAATTGGAAATTAAATCAGTTAATTAATTCGCAAATCTCTGTAGATTTTAGAATTGACTGAAGTAAGTAACCTTTTGTGATTGGTTACTTACATTTTTTTCTATGAAAGGCCTCAAGTACGCAATTATCATTGTATAGCTTCATAATTAGGAATTTGTTTTATATTTTGAATATTACAGAATCTGATGTATCGTTGGCAAAATAGTTAAAATACAATGATATTTTAGATGNTTTGAATATTACAGAATCTGATGTATCGTTGGCAAAAAAGTTAAAATACAATGATATTTTAGATGTTTTTCTTTTGTATATAGTTTTCCACTTGTCACATTAAAAGCTGAAAATTTGGGGATGCATATAAAATTGCTTGATGGCATAGAGAACTTGAGTTCATATGAATTCTATGAATGAGAAGTGTGGATATAATCAAGTAATACACACTCGATGATAAGGCAGGGAAAAGGGGATTTCTTGGTTCATCAAGGGCTGATAATTACCTATATGTAGGCATCTATATTTTACTTAACTGTTGTATGTTCTTTATCTCCTATTCTAGAACAAGAGAAGAACCTCAGTCCAAATGATCGTTTAATTCATTTTTGCCATTTTATGACATATTTGCAATACAACCCGTTCCAATCTAGGTTTCATATATTGGCATTGTCGAATAATGTGGCCTGAATTTTGTTTCCGTGCAGGGGGAAAAAATGAAGTTGTCACATGTAATGTTGATATTTTTTTAAGAAGTCCAGAGAAGAATTTTCATGTAAGGGAATTTTTTCTAGCATTTGTTAAAGTTAGAAATCATATGCATGGACCTTTGAACTTGAATGGCTTATGGAGAAGCAAGTAGTTGTTACTAAGATGTGTGTGTATTTTCTTGTGTGTTTCTTCAGTATGAAAGAGGAGTTGTTAATATAATATTTTTTTACAAGACATAATTGTAATGCCTAGGTTGTTGGAAGTGTTTCACAAGTTCTGAATTATATGCCTATATGCAAGAAGTTGGAAAGGAATTTGTGTCTTG